GTTGCAAATAAACATCAATGCCATTTTTAGGTCCCTTGGGATCAGAAATAAGCAATGACATCATCATATGAGAACGTTGCATGCACAAATTTGGTGGCAAATTGTAAATCATTAGAATAACAGGCCACATGCTATACTTGCTACTTAATGATCCAAATGGATTGAAATCATCTGTAGCCAAACCTAGCCTTACGTTTCGAGATTCCAAAGAAAATGACTCATGTTTCTTATCGAACTCTTTCCACGCATCGGAATCAGCAGGATGCCTGAGAACTCCATCGTTACATCAAGTCTCCGCATGCCATCTCATGTTAATGGATGTTTTCTCACATATAAATAAACTCTTAAGCCTCGGAATCAAGGGAAAGTGTCGCAAAACCTTTTTGGGTACTCTTTTGCGGCGAGTGGTTGAAGAACTCGGCTGGTTCTACATGGAAGTCTTCCATCGTGAAGCATTACAAACTCTACATGAATCTAAGTCTGTATCATCCTTTCAGAACAACATGCAATCATTCTCACATGCATCAATTTTCACATAACCACACCCGAATTTCCCAGTCAACTTCTTAACTTCATAAAAAGAGTCGGGAATATTTAGACCAGGAAAACGTCTTAATTAGTTGGAGTGTGCCTGAAAACGTCTTATCGCTCATCTTGCCTCGAGATTTAATTTTGTAGAATTCCATCACGAATGAAAGTTTATAATTTTCTTAGCATCCATCATATAGAGGGATACACCACTCTTCAATGAGTTTACGAAAATCATCAACTTCCGGTGTAGATTCTTCAAATGATTCGTGATGATCAGGATGAATACATGCTTGCAACAATTCTTCCATGTTCTCACGACCGCTCGCACCACCATCAGTTTCATTCACATCTTCAACTTCAGAAATTCTGAATCAGTAGCTTCATTTGTTTCACAAACCTGATGCCCGAGACGATATTCTTCCTCAGACTCTAGGTGCATTACCCATTGGCCTAAACCATAAGATTTATCCCAACCCCTCCAAAGTAAATGTCCATGGACAAATTCCCGATCCCCATTTTTTCTACACTCACAATCTCGACATGGACATCGTATTTTATTATCGATCGCAGCCTTATTAAAAGCAAAATCCAAAAATTCTTCACAACCCTTTTGAAATGCATCTAATCGAAGATCATCGATCAAAACCCAACTCCTATCCTTTGCCATTTTGTAGTAAGTAAATAGTCTTACTGGTGCTGGTAAAAAATAGCAAGACAAATATTTTAGTTATTCAAAATATTGTTTTTATCATGTAGAATGCATTAATTAATATACAGAAAAAAAATAATCGAAATGAGAAGAAATTTTCTGAACTCCCAATACTGCCCTTTACCACTTTTTATCTACTATTTGACTCCATTTTTTCAAAAGGAAAATAATATTTATATTTTTTATCTATAAAGATTATATATGATTTTTTTTAGCATAGACTCTAATTAACATTTAGGGGCTATTTGATAAAAGGGGCGTGCTAAATCCTACCCAAAAAATTACGGAACCACGCACACAAATTACAAAAATTATCTCTCTATCTTTAAATATTTCTCTCCCTTACCATTTTATCTCTCACTTCTCTCTTACTTTATTTTCTCTCATAATTATTCAAAATCCCTTTTTATTAACATAATAATCATATAATCAGTTACATTATTTTTTAATTTATTTATAAATCAATTGCTAAAAAGAATTATTCAATATTTAATAAGTATTTTTAATAAATGGAAATGTAGATTGTCTTCTACTCTTTAGAACACATAAAAATTAAAAATCGGAAGGAAGAGATAAGTTGCATCATATAAATTTGCGTTAACATACGACAACAAAGTTAAATGAATACGGGAAAACTTTGTCGTGGTAAAGGTGAGGGAAAAGATAATTTGGGCTTCCCTTTCCTGCTGTACTTGATTAGCTGTGTTTCTTTCTTCAAAGCAATGAGTGCCTTCAGTTAACAAGTCAACAAAATGCCGTGAGGCGATTGATTACCGATCAAAAACTATAATGGAATAGTAACATAAAACAAGTGCCGAATCAAGCTGGCTAATAAGTATGAAAACTTTTTCAATTTCATAACCTGCCTTTTGAAGGGCATGATTCTTCAAATGTACGTCATAAACAAAAAACAAAATTTTCGCCACAAAATAATCACTTTTATTTAACCACTCAGATTACATCTTAAGCTAATATTTTTCTAAGACACATTTGACACCCCTTAAGCAACTTACAATGCAATTATGCATTAGAACCTCATAGATGAATTTGAAGTTGAGTGCAAAAGAGCCTTCGTTGTTTTAATCAACACATACACCCCAAAATCAGCACACATACACATTAAATTAACACATACACCCCAAAAACAGCACATACATACACACTAAATCAACACATACACCCCAAAATCAGCACACACATACACAAATATCCATACACTACGAGGGGAGAAATTAAAGGAAAATTACAGAAATTAAAGGCACTCACTACGAGGGGAGAGGTCGGCAGGGAAATGTGGCGACGAGGCGGCGGCAAGGCAACGGCGGAGCAAAAATTGAGTTTTCAGCCAACGAAACCGGCGAGCAAAGGTGGAATGACGACAAAGGAACGGCGGCGGAACAGGTCCCTAACAGTAGAGAGAGAGAGAGAGAGAGAGAGAGAGAGAGAGAGAGAGAGAGAGAGAGAGAGAGAGAGAGAGAGAGAGAGAGAGATAGAGAGAGAGAGAGAGAGAGAGAGAGAGAGAGAGAGAGAGAGAGAGAGAGAGGAGTTGGGCTGAAACGAATTAGGCTTTTATCCCATTCCCTTATGCGACGAATTTACCTAAATCGACGCAAAAATTAAATAAAAATAAAATCTTAAATTAATTCATTGCGTTGATTATACATAAATCGTCGCCACAAAATAATATAAAATTAATTCCATTGCGACGTTTCTGTATTCGTAGCAACCTGGGCTCGAGAATTTGGGAAAGAGAAAACTCTTGCGACGATTCTGATAAATATTCGTCGCAATATTTATTACAAAAATATTAAAAGGAAAAATAATTTATTCTAAATGCGACGTTTTATGAAATCGACGAAAACAGAGCAGGGAAAAAAATAAATGCAATTTTCTTGCGACGTTTACTCACAATTCGTCGCAGGGTAACATAATAAAAAAAATAAAAATTATTCTAATTGCGGCGACGTACATTTCGTCGCAGGGATCGAAGAAAAAAATATTTTTTTTCAAACTCGTTGCGACGATTCTGCTTATTTCGTCGCTATAATATAATTTAAAAATAAAAAAAATTACTTTGCGCGACGTTTGTCGCTTTTTCGTCTAAAAAATATGTGAAAATAATTTTGTTTTCTCGTTGCGGCGTTTACAGAAATATTCGTCGCAAAGTAGCGACGATATTCTAGTTATGTCGCAAGGGTTTTGAGTCAAAAGCGGGATTTAAACTGTTGCGACTAATGCAGTAGGAATCGTCGCAAATATGCGACGATTTGAATTTAGTCGCAAATTTTAACGTCGCCAGAACTGTGTTTTGGCCTAGTGGGGGAGTGGTTTGAACTCTACCTCGGAGTCGCTTAGTTCTATGGCCCATTTGGCTAATCGCCCAGATGTCTCGGGACTCCTCAATATTTGCTTGAGAGGATAGTTGGCGAGAACTACCACTTGATGTGATTAGAAGTAAGGTCGGAGCTTCCTAGCTGCATTGATGAGTGCGACCGCGAGCTTCTCCATGTTGGTGCAGCGATATTTGGCTCCTTGAAGAGCTCGGCTTATGTAATATATCGGCTGGTGACCTCCTTCACCATCTCGAATGAGCACCGCGCTAATGCATCAGCAGAGATAGCTAAGTAGAGGAGGAGGGTATCTTCTGGCTGAGGCTTCGTTAGTTGAGGTGGAGAGGCGAGGTACGCCTTCAAATTGGCGAAATCCCTTTGGCACGTTTCATCCCACACAAACTTTTTTCCACCCCTTAGAACTTTGAAGAATGTGAGACCTTTATCTGCTGATCGGGAGATAAACTGGTTCAAGGATGCCAAACAGCCGTTAAGCTGTTGAGCTAATTGCAAATACCACCCATGTGTTATCTCTAATTGTCAAATCCTTTCATGTGAAAAAAAAAACTCACCAACACCCCCTTGTGTTAACATTTTCGAAGCACACTGCACCTTTGTGATTTTAGGCTTTGACTGAAGGTAAAGTGACAAAAATGCCCTATTGGAGTTTTTCAGCAATTAATAAACCATATTATAATTTTATAGGTATTATATATTTTTTTATTTTGTAAATATTAAAAATAAAAATAATATATTTAAATCGGAATGAAATATATATTGTAACATTAAAAGTTTTTATATGTTTTCATTTTTTTTTTAAATTCTATAACAAATAAAGAAAAAAGAAGAAAAAAGCCTTTTTCTCCAGATCCTCCGCCCTCCCACCCAACTCACATCACTCATCCACCATTTCTTCACCCGGCCGCCACTTCTGCTCCGCCGCTACTCACCACTATCTCACCCCTCCTCCACCATCACAACCATCTTCTCCAGATCCGTCGCCCACGTCTTTGAAATTTTAGTTTCCACCAATAAACTTTACGCGTGCCTCAAACTTTCCCACAATCTCCTATTTTGACGGCGGTGGCAGCGATAAGGCGAGCAAGAGAAGAGAAAAAAACAAAAAGATGTAATTTTTGGACCTAGCAGGTTCGGCCGTCAAACTCGCCGCGATCGAGAGAAATCGTTTGGAGATGTTGTAGACAAGCCATTGCTATAATTGGGGTTGGATTAGCCTCGGATTGTGCGGATTCAGGTATGGTATGTAGATTGCAGAAGAGGAGGTCAGGCCCGTTCCTGAGAATTCGGTGGCCCTAGGCGAGATTAGAAGAACAACTCAAAACGGGGCCCCCCTATCTATTCTTCCAAAATAAACTCAGTTAAAAAAAAACTACAAAAAACCAAAAAAAAATTAAAAAAAAAAAGTTTAAACTCGTCGATATAATGCATTTTATCAACGATGGCATAAAAATAAATTCACTACCTGTTTTTAAGAGACTAATGGACATAGAATAAAACAATAAGCATAAAAAACATAAGACAAATATTTCATATTCAAATAATATATAGCTCCGACAACTTAAACTATCAATCTATAAGTACACTAATGATCATTGAAAAATCACTCTTCTTGCTTTCTGAGCTGCAAAAGTACTAATTAAACTTGTGAAATCAATTTTTTCTGCCAAATCTTTTTCAATAGATAACATAGCCAACCCATTTAATCTTTCTTGACTCATTGTTGATCGGAGGTAAGACTTAATCAATTTAAACTTTGAGAAACTTCTTTCCGCAGAGGCTACTGTAACTGGTATAGTCAGTAGTATTCTGTAAGAAACCCATGCATTCGGAAAACTACCATCCATCGCTTTCAAGTAATTCAATACTTCAATTGCCGTTTCTATTTCTTTCGGCAAAATTTCTCTCAATACTCTTAGTTCGGAAAAAAGATCTTCCCCATCAATATCTGCTTCTGCATCTTGTTTTAAAATTAATTCTAACTTAACACAAGAAGCTTTCAAACCTTCACATCAACCAATTTCCACTTTTTTAGATCTAACAAAAACCCAAAACGTTTTTCAAAGTTTCGAAATTCTTCAAATCTTTCTCTTAATGAGGAAAGAGCTTGGTCAATGACATACATGAAAAATTCAATTCTGAAGGTTTCTTCTGATGATTGGGGTACGTGTTCATTCTGATTCTCATCAAATTTTCTTTTTCTTCTAATCAACCGTTTTTCCCGAAATACGGGTTGAATCCCCAACTTTTCGGCAATGGTCGTAGCTTCAATTTTATCTTTCTCGTAACCTGTTTCTCTGTATTCTTCCAAAAGAGAGATGAGTCCTTTTAATTGTCCCAAAGCTTCATCCATATGCATATCTTCTTTTTGAAATGTCTTACTCACGGTGTTAACAAAAAATAATAAATCATACCAGACAACCAAGCTTATCAAAAATTCAAAGTTTTCAAATTCATTTGTTACCAAACCTTCAGCTTCACTAGTTATTGTACCATCCTCATCGCTATGCGCCAACTCAAGTAATGAATTTCGGACTTCTTCAGTTTGCCGCAGTAGTGGTTTCACACTTTCAATGCGACTTTCCCATCGTGTTTGTGATAATGGCTTAAGAGTAAGACCGGTTACATTTGCTTTCATAATTTCCCACCGCTTCGTTGAAGCTGAAAATAAACAATATATACGTTGGATAACCCCAAAAAAGTTCTTACCCTTGAGACAACAATTGGCCATATCACAGAGTGCAAGATTAAGACTATGACAACCACACGGCATGTAAAAAGCTCTTGGATTTTGATCAAGTAATCGTTTTTGTACACCTCTGTGTTTCCCTTTCATATTTGACCCATTATCGTAACCTTGACCTCTAATATCATTGATGTCTAGTTCAAGAGTTTTGAGTACCTCCTCGAGTTCACTAAAAAGCCCAAGTCCTGTTGTGTCATCCACCTTTAAAAACTCCAAGAAGAACTCTTCAACTTTTATTGGGCTTACAGTAACATCTACACATCGTATGACGAGAGTCATTTGCTCTTTATGGCTTACATCTGGCGTACAATCAAGTATAACAGAGAAGTATTTCGCCTTTTTTATTCTTTCCACAATGACACTCTTAACTTCACTTGCCAATAAATGAATCAATTCATTTTGAATCTTGCTACCGAGATAATGATAATGAATCTCACGTGTTTGAACTCTTCGTACATGCTCTTGCATAACAGGATCAAATATAGCAATCATTTCAATGAATTTCAAAAAATTTCCATTTCCATCTTCATGGAGAATTTCATTGTCCCCTCGAAATGCCAAGTTCTGTTGAGCAAGAGTTCGCACAAGGGCAATTATCCTTATCAATACTTGTCGCCAATAATCTTTCTCTCTGCTGATTTGTTCTTGCAAACTTTTATCAATCGTTTCATTCTTTTTCAATCTCACCTCCAATTCGATCCACTTGCTCATACAAATAATATGTTCGCTGCTCCCTTCGTGACTCTTTATCCTTCTTGTAAGATTTTTCCAATCTTTAAGACCATCAGTTGCTAAATGAGTCTTGTTTCCCTCTTGTTTGAACAATTTGCAGCAAAAACAAAATATTTTATCCACTGTCTTTGAATAAACCAACCACTTTCTCTCATGTTTTTCCCCATTTGGTAATTGTCGGACATAATGTACATTGGAGAAATGTCTATAAGAACCATCAAGAGGGTACTCAAAATCAACATCCACATCTCTTATTGGACCTCGTTCTACTATCAAGTCTATCCTCTTTCGGCCAAGTTTGTCCCAATTGGCTGGATCATTTAACTTCAAACTTACTTGCTCATTGTTGATATGTTCAACTACTGGATCATTCTCATTCCCAGCACACGTGGTCTTCAATTCGTTTTCTTGGTTAACTTCTGCACTCGGATCCTTCAGCTTTGCTATCTCATTACCATTTTCATCCTCGTCCAGTGCTTCTTCGACTGTTTCTGTATTTTCATCTTGACGTTTGCTACCAAAAAACTTATAAAGATCTCTTTGAGATTGATCAACCTTCTCTTTTTCTTGCTTCTTTTTTTTTTTTTCACACCCCGAAGGATATTTTCTAGGGACCATGACGACAACAAAAATATCCTGTATCCAAATAAAGAATATATAAAGTCATAAACAAAATTTATTTTGAAAGGTTACATAAGTCATACATGTGTGTAGATGACAGTGTGAGGGTGATTGTTGATTAGTTATTAGTTAATTGGTAAAAGTCTTGACAAGTGACCAATATAAAATCTTGTTAATCAATATTTATTATATTATCTTTGTATTTACTGGAATAAAAAATCAATAGAACATTAATTAAAAACTCCTAAATATTACACAATTCTCCAATTTCATCATCAAAATTGACACGGTGATTGGTGAATAAAAAGTTAATAGCAAATTAGCAATCCACAGATTCGGTGACTTATGCAGAATGGATTCTATAGTAACTAGAAACAAGAAAAAATAGATAATTTCACTAAAAAACAAAATAAAAGAGAGTAATAAAATATTACCTGGAAGAAAATTTATGGTGTTTCAAGGAGTCTAGTCTGACTATTGGATTTGGAGGCTTGGAGGCTTGCAGCAGAATTGCTTGGAAGGGGAAGGTTCCAATTAGACAAGGGATTTGCAAAATTTGGGGTTTAGGGATTCCAATTAGGCGAGGGATTTGCAAATTTTGTGAAGAGTGCAAAGTATTACATGGGATTTCCGTAGGGCATAGACTAGTAAGTAATAACTAGTGAGTTTTATTTTAGGAACAAAATAATTAACAAAAATAATATAAATTTAATATTTAGGGGCCCCAAGATTGAGGAAATTATAAAAATAGCCAAAAAACTTTGCTTTTAGATTTATTTAGAATTGAGGTTTTAAATATATATATATATATATATATATATATATATATATATATATATATATATATATATATATATATATATATACTAATATATAAAGGGTATATAAAAATATTTGGGGGACCCAAATTTTCGTAAAAATCCGGGGGCCCTAGGCGACCCGCCTACTTCGCCTCCCCTCAGAACCGGCCCTGGAGGAGGTGGTGGTGCCGAACCTGATCGTTTCTTATTGGGGTTGGGGTTAGGGGGTGGGGAACGGGAAGAAGACAATGACTTTATTTATTTAATTTATTTAATTTGTTTTTAATGACTTATAATATTTTTTCACATTATTATTTTGAACTCTGGAAATTATAATTTGGTCCTATAAATTTAGGTTATTCATAATTTAACAAACAAGGCTATTTTTTATTTTATAAAGGGGTATTTATGACATTTCACCCTAAAAATACTATTAAAAATCGCACAACCCGTGAGTGAGTGACACGATTTGCCTCCAGGGGTCTCGATACTCTGACTTAGATAACACAAGGGGGTGTTGATGAGTTTTTTTTTCACAGAGGGGTATTTGACAATTAGAGATAACACAGGGGTGGTATTTGCAATTAGCTCTTAGGTTGTTGGACCTTAATTGACGTGGGAGGAGCCATGGAGGGGATAACTTCAATTTTCACGAGGTTACCTTCGATCCCCCGTTGTTAGATTATGTATCCTAAGAACTTGCCTCCTCGAACCTCGAATGAACATTTTATGGGGTTGAGTTTCACATTGTATTTTCGTAAGATGGAGAAGCATTGATCTAGATATGTTAGGTGATACAAAACTTTGATACTCTTGACGAGCATGTCGTCGATGTATACCTCCATATTCTTGCCAATCAGGTCTGCGAACAATGTGTTCACCAGAAGTTGGTAAGCAGCTCTTGCGTTCTTGAGACATAATGGCAAGACTTGATAGCAGTAGATGCCTCGGTCTGTGATGAAGCTGGCTCTCTTTTGATCCTCTAGAGCGAGCAATATTTGGTTGTATCCTTGATAAGCATCAAGGAAGCTAAGAAGTTCGCATCCCGAGGTCGAGTCGATGAGTTGATCGATCATTGGTAAGGAACATGATCTTTGGGACAAGCCTTGTTGAGGTTGGTGAAGTCCACACGCAATATCCACTTGCCTCCGGGTTTGGGAACGATTACCACGTTGGATAACCATACGGGGTACTGAACCGGTCGGATGTGCTCTGCATCCAAGAGTTTTGCAACTTCTGCTTTAATGTGCTTGTTGCGCTCGGAACCAAAGGTCCGTTTCCGTTGCTTGATTGGCTTAAGTCTCTTATCGACTTTGAGTCGATATAGAGCCACCGTAGGGGGTATCCCCATCAAGTCTTCGGCCTTCCAAGAATACACGTCCTCATTATGTCGAAGAAAGTTAACCAGTTGACCCGCCATCACTTGATCTAAATAAGATCCGATGCGTGGGAGCCTAGAGCTATCACCAGGTGTGAGCTCTACCAATTTTAGTTTTTCGACAATTTCTAGCTTGCGTTGTCGTCAGGTACGCTGATCAACATATCATTATCTACTTCGACGATCGCGTTGACCCATTTCCGTCTGTCATGATTTGGGGTGTCGTCTCCCCTTCCTGATGGCTTAGTTTTTTTGGAGGGCTCCCGTAGAGCCCTTGCATAGTACTTGCGAGCGAGGCATTTATCTCCAAGAGCTTCTCCCATCCTGTAAGAAGTGGAGAATTTTAGCTTCTGGTGAAAGGAGGAAGGCACTGCATCGAATGTATGGATAATTGGTCTCACTAAGATGATGTTGTAGGGAGATGGCTTATCGACTATAAGGAATTTCACCATCTACTCGACATGGGCTATCCCCCATTGAGATGGGTAATTCTACCTCTCTCGTGGAGAACACATCTTCTCCTGTGAACCCTTTTGGTGGTGTGCTCACGGGGCTGAATTGGGCGTTGTCTATGCCCAGTTGCTTAAACGTGTGGATGTACATCGGCTCAGCTCCCGCCGTAGACTAGTATCTTCTTGACCAAGAAGCTGGCCACATAAGCTGTGATTACCAGAGCGTCTTTGTGAGCTTCAGCCGGACCTTCTAAGTCGGAGGAATTGAAGACAATACTTGTATCAGGTTTCTGTATCTGATAGACAGATGCATAAGAGGATACGTGATCTTGATTTACGTGTGCTGATCGGGTGAGGGCGAACCTCGCATTTTGCGAGTCTCCACCCGCTGGTCCTCTAGAGATAAAGGCAATAACTCCCCGCGTGGGTTGATTGTCATTGTTATCTTGGTAGCATCGATGACCTCCCTCATCTCGTCGTTGCTGTTGATCTCGATGGTTGTCTCGATGTGGGGGGTCATCTTGCCGTTTGTTTCAGGATTTGTCGATGTATTCGCCCAAGTGTCCCTGCTTGATTAGCCTTTAAATTGCGAGTTTAAGTTGCGCACATTCCTCGGTGGTATGCCCTTTATCTTTATGGAAACGACTGTAGTGGTCTGACCTTTCCCTTTTCATGTTGTGGTGGGACGTGGAGGTCCGCCAAGCCTTTTCGTTCTATAACTTGAAGGATTTCCGTGAGGTGGGCATTGAGTGTAGTGAACCGACTATATGAGGAAGATGATTGGACCTGAGTTGTAGGTGGAGAACGTCGATGATCTCATCGTCTAGAGTCGTGGTAATCATCTTCTCTCTTCCTCTTGGGAGAGGCAAAGGTGGAGGCCTCCTCTATGCGCATATATTTCTCTGCGCGATTTAACAGTTCATTCAAATTGACTGGAGGTCTTCTTGCGATAGACTCATTGGATCTAATTGGCTTCATATTCTGCTACATAATTCCCGAGAGCCTTTCTTCTCCCACGCTGGGGACTTCATGAACAGCCTCCACAAATCATTTGATGTAGCTGCGGAGGGTTTCATTCTATCTTTGGATAACCGTGAAGAGGTGTGCTGGAGTTTTAGCATATTGTTTGTTGATGGGGAATTGGTTGGTGAAGCGATCCGATAATCGAGAGAAGGTTTCGATTGATCATGTGGGCAAGAAGTTGAACCAGTTCATTGTCCTTTAGAAGAGTGTAGTGCGGAACATCTTGCACATTGCCGCATCCGTTGGGCCATATAGATCGGCCATAGCGTGGAACTTCTCAATGTGTTCTTATGGGTCAGTAGTTCCGTCGAACTGAGGCAGGCCCGTGACTTTCACTACTTGAGGTAGTACCTCATTGGGTATGTCAATAGTAAAGGGATTGCGCCTTACTGGAGCTGATGCCCTTCCGTTAATAGGGTTGTCTAATTGGGGAAGAGGATTGAGGTGAGACACTCTGCTATTTATTTCATCCTCTCCATCATTAGGTGGAGAAGCTCGCCAGGGAGAGGCATTACCCCTTGGAGGTGAATGCGGGCGTTGTTACCTGCGTTGTGCCTCTCTACAATGAGTGGATTGCTGCATCCGGGACCTTGGGTCCGAAGTGGATGACGATGACACACTTATTCGGGGGTCGTTGTCTTGGGGTGGTGGCGGTGCTACGGGGGGTATCACTGGAGGAGCGTTGGCTCTCGCTGTGGCGATGCATTGGGCCATTGCTTCAGCAGCACGAGTAGACGCTTCTGTGATGATACGTTGAAGGGCCTCTTCGGTTATCTTAACCGTTCGAGGAGCGGGGAGTGGATAATCCTGCAGGGGATCTATGGGGACATCAAGAGGTGGGTCGCGTGATGGTTCTTGATTACAAGGAGGAAGTGGCAAGCCAGGGCCTCCACGAGGTGGGAGGTTGTTAGCAGTGTCACGTTCTACTCGAGCAGATGTCTAAGGAACATCATGCGCGCTACGTGATCTTGTATGCATTCTCACAGACAGCGCCATAATGATGATGCTAG